CCCTACCCTTTGTGACAGCATGGGTGGCCTGGGGAGCAAGATGCTAAGTGAAAGAAGCCAGTCAGAGAAAGACAAGTGCCATGTGATTTCACTTCAAAGTGGAATCTAATGGATAAAATGAACTAGCCAACAAAATAGAAAGCCCCCCTTCCTCCCAAGCTTCTTTCAAGATTTTCTCTTTTCTTTGGTTTTCCGAATTTCAGTATGATATGTTTAAGATTTTTTTGGTGTTTATCCTGTATGGCATGCTCAGATTGGCAGATTTTTTTGGAGGGTGGTCTGGGCTTACATGGTAAACTCCAAAGGGATTCAGATTAAAATATAAATATATTGGGGGCGTACAACAAAGATCCCCTTCTCACATGTGTAGTTGCACTATGACTTGGTAGTGATTAAGAGATCTCCTGGGTTGTACATTGTGGAAGTGGCCGTGGCAATGGTCTAAATCAGGGATGGTGGTGGGGAAGGTTGGTCAGAAGATGTGGCTGCCAGTTTGAGCTGTGAACTTGGTCCGGGCAATTGCAGGCTCCCCACTCCCTCTCCTGTGCTTGGAATATGCACGCCCCTTGCCTTCCCATATCAGAAGCTGCCCGGTGGCACATCCTTGAGATAGAACCATGGTGAGGAGACTCTGCCACAGGTGTCCAACCCACTGCCCACGGGCCACATGTGGCCCAGGGTGGCTATGAGTGTAGCCCAACACAAAACTAAATTTACTTAAAACATGATGAGACTTTTTTTCATTAATGTTTGTATATTTACTATGTGGTCCAAGACAACTCTTCTTCCACTGTGGCCCAGAGACACCAAGAGGTTGGACACTCTGGTGACTGTGTACGTGACTGACATCAGTTAAGGTTTCTGTATAAACTTTTAAGATCCTGGCAGGCAGGTGCAGAAAACCACTCATCTGTGGCTGCCAAACCTACCACCTACCAACCTGTCCTTTTCTCCCATCTCTCCCTGACCTCCATGTGTGGGGGCGGGTTTCAGGTTACACCTGGGAAGCTCCTGGCCAGGTTTGCAACCTAACAAGACATTGCCCCACTTTTCCTGTCAAGGACCAAATAGTACTTATTTTTGGCTTCATGGGCCATAAAGCAAAATGGAGGCTATTATATAGGTACATGTATAACCATTTAGAAATGTAAAAGGCATTCTTAGCTTCTGGACCATTAAAAAATAGCCATCCTGACAGATTTGGCAACCCCTGGTCTAAAGTATAGTTTTGAAGCCTACTTGCTCTGTCATTTTAGAATTTATGAGCCTAAAATGAGACTTTCTGAGTCTCGGTTTCCTCATCTGTAAACTGGAGATGATTCCCATTCTGCGAAAGTTATATGGGGATCCTGTGAAAGTGTACATTGCACGGCACCTGGTATATTCCACTTCTGGGAATACATCTGAAATGCTAACTTGGAATATATGGACCCCTATGTTCACTGCAGCAATATTTGCAATAGCCAGGATTTGGAAGCAGCCCGAGTGTCCATCAGTGCATGAGTGGGTAAAAAAGCTGTGGTACATTTACATAATGGAATACTACTCAGCAATAAAAAAGAAGGAAATCTTACCCTTTGGATGGGTGGACCTGGAGAGCATTGTGCTAAGTGAAATGAGCCAGTCAGAGAAAGACAAATACCATATGATTTTACTTATTTGTGGAAACTAATGAATTAAACAAACTAACAAACAAAATAGAAATGGACTCAGAGATACAGAGAATAGTCTAACAGCTTTAAGTCCATGCGCTGTACCTTCACAGGCATATGACCTTGGGTGAGTTTCAGGTCTCTTTTAATTCACTGAGGGGTCATTTACTTGAGCTGTGATGGATCGAACATGTCAAAAGGGGTTTGCAACGTTTCTTGGTACAATAAAGAAATGGAGCCATTCCAAGATGTAGGGTAAAGCCGAGAACCTTTTGAGTAAACTTACTTGGAGTCATTTATTGAAATGTTAGCTTAGAAACATATCTGCAACAAATGTTACAGAGTTTATATCTCTAGTTTTAAGGAGCTCAATCAATGATAAAACCTTGCCCAAATTAAGCTAAGATTTGTGCTTCTTTTTCTATCAAGTTGTCTGCACAAACTGGTATGCAATCCTGGTGAGATGATCCTTGGCTACTAGTGAGTGTATAAGTTGGTACAAAGGTTCTTAAAAACTAATAAAAAGTATAAAGAACCTTAAAAGGTTAATACCTTTTACCTTACAGTTTGTCTCTAAGGAAGCTTTCTTAATGAAAAAGAATTACGTCGTGCCCAGTGGGTCCACATGAAATACAATAATACATGAAATAATAGATTGTTTCAGAAGTTTTTATGTTTGTAAAAATATTTGGAAACAACTTAAAAGAATAATTAAATTAGGTGTGACCCCTTCACAGCTTCAATATTATATTGTTAAAAATAAGAATACAAGCTGTTCATGCGATGTTATCCCCATTCTTATAACATATAGAAGTATTTATTTACTTAAAAGAAATGTGTCGGATATTACCAACAGGTATTTGTGGATTATGGGGTTGCATGCCATTTTTATTTTCTTTATAATGAAAATCAATTATTTCTATAATTATAACAATTCATGTCATATTTTAAAAGACAAAACAAAAACGTTTACAGAGATCCTTCTTTTATAAGAATTAATGGGTGGAAAGTGCTTTGACCCGAGAAGCTGGGTGGGGCGGCTGGGCGCTGGAGAGGAACATGTTGTGGAAAGACTAGGAAAGGTGTTCCTGAGCGTTCTGTTCCCGCGGAGTCTGGCCTTTCTCAGCTCCCCACTCGGGGAGCATTTAGAGGAAGTCGTCACAATGGTTCATTCTTCTGTATCCACGTCAGTCACATTGGTCTATTTTCCTCTTCCTAGAGGGCTTCTGTTTTCTTTTCTGTGATATGCATAGGGCTGAGGTCACTCCGGCTGTGATTACATTCAGGAGGGAAAGGGGCCAGTGTAAGGAAACAGTTTGTCTTAATTTATCCAGATAGCCAAAGCTGACTCGCCAAAGCTGACTCCGGTAAGGGTGGGGAGATAGTCATCTAAGACCTAATTGTCCCTCGTGCCCAGTGTGTGTAGAAAGTGGGGCCCCAATATTCCTGAACCGGGAGTTAATTGTCTCTCTTCCAAAGGTGGTTAAAACGTGTGGGTGTGAATGCGTGGTATGTATGAACCGGCACTGTCTTTCCACGTGTGAGCGAGACAGGAGGGGACAGGAAGGAGAGGTCCTTCCACTGGGACCTCCATGCCACCACTCGTAAGGGGTTCAGATCTACTAGCTTGATGCAAGGACTGGAGACCTTTGCTATAAAGCCACACACTTTTAGAGCTGGAAAATACTTATGCATTCAGTTTCAATTTAACTCCCACTTCTTGCCAGGTACTTTCACATACATCTGTGATTCCTAAACTGAGAAATATTTATGCCTGGGTTATGCCACCTCAGCCAGGAGACCCTTGAAGCCTCATGGCATCTCGAAAAGATTCATCACGTTGGCCTCCTTGACTGTATGTGCGTTTCTAGCATGGTGTGGAAGAGGACGGCTTCACTGACACAGAATTACCCAATAACACTCTTAGCAGGAGGAAGTTGAGTCCCTCTGAAGGCTTCTGTTTGCTTCCTCTTGCACTGAAATTTAAGAGCCGTGGGTTTAACCTTAACGATAGAGTCTTTAGGCAAGGCAAAGGTCAGGAACTTGATGTTGCCTTTGTACGGAGAGTGAAAATGTGTAGTGCGGCCAACTCCAGCCCAACACCCTTGCAGACGAGGGTAGTTGTACTTTGGAATCTAAAAAATATTTTTTTTCTCAATGAAAGGGAATACTGTGATCTGAAACTGATGTTTCTTCTCCTTTTTAGTCCTTTAGGCACAAGTCCCTTATATAAAACAGAAGCAGCCGTTGCAAAATTCTGGAATTGGCACATTGGAATTGGTGAAACAATGTGTTGCGTTTCATTATGTCCTGTGGATGTCCAAAATAGTTACCTGTCCCCTGAAGGCTTGCTGCCTATGTGCACCCCCACTGGGACGTTTAAAAACCATCTCAAAGTCAAAGGTAGAATTCTTGATTGTCCCAAGGCCAGAAATGAGCTGTCTCCTGTTTTTTTGTTCTTTTCTTAGAAAAAGGAATTGCTCATTTGCCTGGCTATTCAAGCAAAGGTTCTGAGAGTTATCCTCAGTTCTCTGCTTTCTCTTTCCCACAGCTGATCTGTCCCCAAAGCAATGGCTGTTGACATTGCTTGCAAACTACATCCCTAAGTCATTGACTTCTCTCCATCACTTGCTGCTACACCCCGTCCAAATCTCTGTCTTCTCCTTTCTGGACCATGGCGCACCGTCTTCTAAACCATCTTTTCTCTCATGATCTATTTTTTTCTGCCAAGCAGCAAGAATCATCCTTTTAAAGTAATATCCTATTTGAAGTCATTCATTACTTATTTTTTTAATAGCAGCTAGAACAAAATATGTAACCCTTACACCGATCTACAAACCCCTTTGGCGCCCAGCCCCACCCCTTCTGGGACTGTGGCCCCTCCTACTCACCCCCAGCCACACCCCCTGGCTTTCTGTTCTTGGAGCTGCCAGTCTGTCAACCCCAGGCCCCGTCCCTGCTGGGAATGGTCTTCCCGCATTTTAACCTGAATGGCTTCTCACAGGAGGTTCTGATAAATAGTATCCCTCTCAGAGACCTTTTCCGATTTAGAACCTTTCTTTTCCAAATCAAGCCCCATTTATCAGGTAACCCTTCTTGTTTCCTATTCGCATTAGCTGGGTACTGTTTACAGCAATTCCCACCACCCATGCCCCAGCCGGATAGACCCAGGAGAGCAGGGCCGCCTCTCCTTTTTCATCATTGCGTTACCAAGACTGCAGGAGGGTGGTCGCTGCTTGGTGGTGTGGCGTGAACCCCATCCTCAAACTGTCCCCCACGTGCTATGCAGTGCAGCTGTCTCTCAGTGTGGGAATCAATGGGTTGTTTCTGCCTGTTCTGTTTTTATAGCAGACTGGACTCTATGAGTACAAAGTGTTTGGTGTTCTGGCGGATTGCCCACCGGATGTGTTTGCAGATGTCTACATGGACTTGGACTACAGAAAACAGTGGGACCAATATGTCAAAGGTGAGTGACACCTACTGTTTTTTTTTAAAAAATCAATTAAAAAGTAGAATCTATTATTACTTATTTTATCTAGCATAAAGCAGCAGGTTTACTCTTTACTCTGTTATGGTTCATTTTTAATTTTTTTAAAAACTATTTATTTCTTTTTAGAGAGAGGGTAAGGGAAGGAGAAAGCGTGGAAGAGAAACATCAATGTGTGGTTGCCTCTCATGTGTCCCCTGCTGGGGACTGGCCTGCATCCCAGGCATGTGCCCTGACTGGGAATGAACTGGTGACCCTTTGCTTCACAGGCCTGTGCTCAATCCACTGAGCTACACCAGCCAGGGCTCATTTTTAATTTTGACATAAAAGTCTTAAATCCTGGTCTGTACCGCGCCTTCGCCATTCCGAGGACTCGCTCCTTGCTGCTTGTAGATCCAGTCTCGTTTTCTCTGAGGGCTGCTTTGTTCTTCCTGTAAGTCAGTTGCCATCTGTATGCCTCTGTATCACGGAAGGCTTCTTGGAGGAGGTGGTGTTTTTGGAAATTGAATAAAAACTTTATAAACAACAGGAATACTCTGTGGGAAGAGGGGAGGGTAAGGGGGGTGAGTGGTAAAGGCCCAGAAAACAGCAGCGGGGGAATCAGGAAAGCATGAAACACTATGATACATACAAATCATGAGCGATTTGGTAGCAGAATTTGGCGCTGGGTGGGAAAAGGGTTTGCATCCCTGAGGGCCTAGCCTGGCTGCCAGTCTGCAGTGCTCTCACCCTGTGAGAGATGGGGAGCTATAAAAGGCAGTAAACGGGGTTCTCCTGCCACTAGCCTTGGGAGTGACCCCCGCCCCCTCGGTCTCAGTGGAATAGAACTACGGAGTTGCCAAGGGGCGCATGAACTCTGAAAGACCCTTCCTGCAGTCGGATTCTTGCTCGCAAGTAACAGAAAGCCAACTAATGCCAGTGTAAGAAAAGGACAAAAGAAAAAAAGAGTTTATGGGTTCATGACATTGAAAACCCCATGGTGTCCTGGCTTCCAGGAGAGCTCCAACCAATATTTAAATAATCCCTCCATCTTTTGGAGAAGGCTGATGACTCTGTTTTCCCCTGCGTGGATGGGACCCTCGGGCAGATTCCTGTCATAGTGAAGATGGCCACCAGAAGATCCAGGCTTACAAATAGCTGTATAAATAACCCCAGAGGAACAGGAACAAGAATTCTACTTTCCTACTGCTGGTGGCCAGAGTCCCAGGATAGGCTTGCGTTGGCTCAGCATGGATCACATGCTTATTTCCTATGGACATTTGTCATGGTTTGGGGCCACTTACTGTTTTTGCAAATGCTTGCTATCAAGGAAGAATTATGGCGCTCACCTATCCAAGGAAGAAACCAAGTCTTCTCTGTCCCAGTCTCCCTAGCAGCCATGCCTCAGTCACATGACATGGAAGTTGCCAATAAGAGGCACATGTGGCTTCAGTCTGGAAAGAGCCACGTGAGGGTGCAGGCAGCATGTGTCTGGTGATGGTCCCAGCAAAGACATCCTCACTTTGGGAGGCAGGGTTTCACAGCTTCTACCCTCTGTTACTTGGCATCAGCGGTTCACACCATGGTGCCTGGTCCACCGGGCTGGCTTCTCTGGAACGTTCCGAGGCTCTAAACAGAACTCTCATCCTCCCGGATAGTCTGTGAGCTACCTGAGAGCCTTCCGTGGACCACTTTTCAGCCTCAACCTACTCAAAAGACAACTGAAGACGCTGGCCAGAGGCACCACCCCTGAACGAATCCCCATGGCCATGTCTTAGAGCTCATTTTCCCAGCCTTGGGTTCAATGCTGAGCCAGCTCCACTTAAAACACATAGTTCACAAGGAGGGGAAGGAGAATTGAGATGCTGGTCCAAGAAGGGGGAGTCAGTGCTGAGCACAGAAAAGCAGCAGGTGTCCATGCCTCCTCTTCCTTTTTCGGGCCATCTGCAGCACTGACGGACTGCCAAGCCCTTTAGTAGATTTTTTTGCAAAATCTGAATTAAATAATCCGTTTTCCCCGTTAGTGTCTCAATGGGATCTCTTGGTTACTTTTGCAGCCTTGGCTTGGCCACTTCTCTAAATGGCCGGGGAGAAGCTCACTGTGCAGTGACGTGGGGTCAGAAGGTGTGCATGTCATGGACTTCCTTTGCTGCCTTCCTCCAGGGCTGGGCTGCTGTTTGCACACGGCAGCAGGGTGGACTAGTAAGGGAGTGCGGTCAGGGCAGCTGTGGTGTGGTGTAAACACGGGAGACGAGCAAGACACCGGCTTAACCACGGCCATCCCACTTTCTCGCAGTTCAGGAGGGACGCCGCCTTCTCTGGGACCTTAGTGTCCCAGCTCCACACGTGACTGGGTGACTCAGTCCTGAGCTAGCTGTCCTGTCAGAAAATCTACAGATGGAAGAAAGGTCTTCAGAGCAAAACTGTTGGTGCTCTAGTGACATCTGGTGGTTCCCCGGATTTTCAGACCTGACCATTGACGTTCGGGTGCCTGACTGTGTTTCATTGCATCCTGTCTGGGAGTCTTGTTTTCGCTCTGAGGGAGACAAGTCTTGTTGGGTTCTTTTATCTGGGCTCTGCTTTTATATCTAATAGACTGTGCCCCCAGGCCATAAGCATTCAGTGGTGGTGGACTGGCCTGAGTCTTTGTAGAAGGCATTCACTTTTTTTTTGTTCTCCTCAGAACTCTATGAAAAGGAATGTGGCAGCGAGACCGTGGTCTACTGGGAGGTGAAGTACCCTTTCCCCATGTCCAACAGGGACGTATCCTTTCCCGGGGCGCACCGTTGCTCGGCTTTCTCAGTGTCACTGCGGCCTGTGGCTGTCGACCGATGGTGGCGTGGCCAGCAGGTGTAGACAGCACTGTCTTTGATTCTCACAGAAGCCTCTGCTGAAGCTGCTGCTTCTTGTGCTGCGTCTGGAGACCTGGGGGTGGATTCCCGGGCCGGACCAGGTGCGCAGTCTGCACCTGTGGTCATGGTGGGGCAGCTCCGACTTTCCCGAGACGTTTTCTGGGTCTTGGAATTGTCGGGCTGCAGACTTGGGGGGGGATGTGGAAGGAACTTTTTGTGCACGGCGTTTAACATGCGCCTGCAGTGTACAGAGAGTGAAATGGCAGAGGTATCCATCCAGGCGATCAGGGGCAGAAGGGGTCCTGGAACTCGGGCCCTCGCCCTTCCTCTCACCCCTTCTCACCTTTCACTGACACCACAGCCAGCAGTCCCTCCGTCACCGTTGCCTCTGGACACCGTGTGTATGTGGCTCCCCCTGAATTTCCTTATTTATCTTATGATGCAATTGGATGAACCGTGGGGAGTTTCAGCTGCCACTCCCAGGTTCTAAGAAGCCCATGTAGGACCAGCCCAGGAGAGCGGGATGGAAATTTGCTGGGTGGGCGGTGTGGGGGCAGGGTGACGAATAGGCAGGCTTTCTCCTCTGTCATGGCAGCTGAGCGGTTTACACGCTGAATTTCCATGTAAGGCCCTTTTAGCAAAGGGGCTCGTGGATTAAAAAAATAAGTTTTGGAAACCAGTGAATCAGGGGTGTCTTTGAGCTCCAGCACTCTGCACGGCTCTGTGCTCCTAAAAATGGTGATTCTCTGAGAAGGGAAGAGGTGAGTGGCCGTGTTTCGTGTACGCCGTCTGTGTGTGTGTTTCTGTGTCTGACTGTGCATGTCAGCCCCGGCCCCCAACTAGATGTAAACGCCATCAGGGCTTATGTCTTGGCCCAGTTCCCGCATACTGCCGGGTGGTTTGTGGACACATGGCGTGTATTGGAACAGATTGTGGATTACTTACTCTCTCAGATTTTACATGGTTCTCTCTAATCCTGCCGACAACGGTGCAAGGTAGGCACCATCATCCCCATCTCACAGTTAAGGAAACTGAGTCAAAGAGAAGTTCAGAACTTGACTCGGGCCCATGCAGCTAGTGGGTGGAAAAGGCAAGCTAGGGACCAGGTCCAGCTGTCCCCACAGGTGGTCATCTTGACCAGGCCATGACCCTACCTCTCCTGCTTCACAGGGACACTGCTGGGTAGGTATTCTCAGGAGTGAAAACTTGGGGCTCCTTGAACTTGTATTTTACTGGCTTTCCAATGCCATACAATCCCTTGGGTTTTTTTCAGTCTTTCTATGTGTGTCTCTCCAATAAGGGATGTTAAATTTGGAGAAGAATACAGTGCTGAAGAACATTCACTTTGGAGAGGAAGATCCCAGGTTGAGTGCGCACCCGTCCTCTGGTTTGCTGTGTGGCCTTGGAAAAGGCCTTGCATGTGCTCGGGCCTCAGTGAACTGGCGGTCCTCCCGTCATAGGCTGTGTGGCACACTGGGCCTTCCAACCTGCCAGACCTCTGCCAAGTTTTAATCAATCTATGCATCAAGTTAAGTTTTCCTCAGTGGAGTGTCAGGTGATGTCTATCACATGAGCTGAGAAAGTTGTGGGAGAAGGCGGGACATCATTTGCTGATATGTGGGAGAGAGGAGATTCAGAGGCAAAAGCAACATCATTTCTTTCCTAAAACGTTTAAGAACTGTACTCCTCATGACTTAGAGGTTGGGGGCCATAGTCCACCCTGTAGGGTGCCCGAGTGAGGGGTGGGACAAGTGTGGATGCTTTAGAGAGGTGACGTGGGGCCGTGATCCTTTCTGCTGTACAGTCAGGGCAGCTGTGTTATACTCAGAGTGGTTACTCCTAGTGTTAAATCTAAAATTCTGTCATTTGAAAGGATAAAGGACAAAGTGTTGAGCCCTGTCCACCTGTGAAAGTCTAGTTAAGGTTCAGGTGCAGCTTTCCCCACTCGACCTGGGCTGTGGGATCTTGGTCAAGATTCTTTACCTCTCTGATGTAACGTTCTCATGTGTGAGACAGGATACGTGCACTCAACTCCCAGGGATTGGTCAGGGTCAAAATAGACATTATAGGTAAAGTACATGTTTATTACATGGTAAGGGCCCGATAAGTGGTGACTTCCCATTCCCTAGGATTTTAATTACCTTCCCTAGAACAGTGCTGTACATGTAGTGGTTGTGCTGAGTGTTTATCGAGATGAAATGACTATTATTCCTGGTGAGCCAGTGTTATCTCAGCGTGTGCATCAGCCCACACAGTATTCAGGTAGTCAGTGTCTTCCTACCATCACCAGCTGTAAGTGACGTGGCTTGACTGTCCTCTGAGCATAGAGGTCAGTAGTTAGAGCTTTGGGGGCGGTCGCGCCAAGGTGGAATGGTGTAGAATGTTAATCGAGTGCTTATTCTGCTCCAGTCTGTCTATAATGCCCCCACCAAGCCTGCCTGCTGGACGCGTCACTCCCTTCTCCGGCATCGGGAAACCGAGTCTCAGAGAAGTTGCGTCCATAAGCCAGGATCACACAGCTGACAGGTGATCAATCCTCTGCTCTCTCCAAGTGCCTTCTCGGAGAAAGGAGGAGTGGTTTCTGTGCATAATTAAAGATATCAAGAAATGATGCACAGGAGGGTAATGCGTGCTTTCAAGGGATATACCAGGTGGTATGAGGCACAATCTTGCAGTGCAGGTAAGGAGAGAGGGCAGATGGGCAAAGTAACAGTACAAGAGAGCAGATGCCGTGTGGGAGGAACAGAATCCCCCTTCCCGCTTTGCTTCTGGCTGTGGGGCTCCCCTTCTGCCTGTCTGAGATGCTGGTGTGGATGTCGTGCCTTGACTAGCATCGCAGTACGTCTACGTCCGGCAGCGGCAAGAGCTGGACGTGGAAGGACGGAAGATCTGTGTGGTCCTGGCTCAGAGCGTCTCCGTGCCACAGTTTGCGGAGAGGCCGGGTGTGATCCGAGTGAAGGGGTACAAGCAGAGCCTGGCGATTGAGAGCGATGGCAAGAAGGGGAGCAAAGGTAAAGCTAGGGTGCACGTTGGTGCACCGGCCAGAGCCACTCATGGGAAGGCCTTGCGGATCGTGAGGCACGTTGGTGCCTGATGCTTGGTCCCTGAGGTCAGAGAGTGGGATGGGCAGGTCTGCCCAACAAACAGGGATGAACGCCCGCCGGGGGAGGGACTCAGTCCGTCCCAGACACTTGGCTCGAGTGCAAGGTGGACATTTAGATCTAACTCACCCCAACCTCTACTGACTCCAGTCCCGATGGAATCAGAACATTGAAGTAAACCAGAGGGCTTAGAGATGGCTGCAGGCTGATCCTGCGGATGAGGCCCAGAGCTGGTTTGGGGAGACACACCCCACCTCAGCAAAAACCAAGTGACTTGGGGCCTGCCCACCTGGAGTTCAAACCACAAGAAGAGCTGGGGTGGAGCGTGGGGCATATGGCTTCCTGCCCCACTGGGACGAGGGCAGCCTTGAATCTGAGGCAAAGTCTGAACCGTCATTCTGGTGCCTGTTGGATCTGCCGCCTTGACAGGCAGATGAACTTTTCTAAGTCTCCATTTTATCCTTTACACACTGGGGTTTAATTTCGCCAACGCTTTAACGATTGTTAGGTTAAAGAGTGAGAGAAGTGCTGTGTTTTGCTGTGTATAATGTGCACCCACGTTTTGTGCGCATTATATACAGGATTATTACACCCATTATTCATGGCGTATAATCATCCTACCTGTGTATAATGCACATCTTTCTTTTTCCCTCAAAAATTTGGGCAAAAAGTGTGCATTTATACACAGTAGAATGTGGTAAGGAGATACTGAATCCAAGGGTCTAGCACTTGCCAGGTGTTTCATAAATATCAGGAAAATGTACCTAGGCTGTGTTTCCAAAAGCGTTTGTATGTAAATGTCCCGAAAGACAAGGCAGAGGACAGGCATCCGCTGAGTTACATGTTACCTCCCACCTTTTTTCCTGGGGCTGAGCCTGAGGGTGGAAGGTTTGCAGGGTGTGTTGCTGTACCTTCCTAACGTGTTTTCTCCTTCCCAATTGTCCTTTCTTCCCCCATCTAGTTTTCATGTATTACTTCGATAACCCGGGTGGCCAAATTCCGTCCTGGCTCATTAACTGGGCTGCCAAGGTGAGATCCCAGGAGGCCGGGGGGAGGGGGGGTGTTTGACAGATGTTGACTGAGCCCGTGGGGCTGTCAGGCTGAAGAGACACGCTGTCTCAAGCCTAATGAGGCTCTTTTATGGAGTAGCTTGGTTGAGTGACCACGGTTAGGACTGGGGCTGCTAATGACACCCAAGAGGAAGCTGGGACAAAAGACAAAGACTCCTTTAGCTGGAATGCCAGCCCCTCCCTGCCAGGACCCCGAGACCCCGCCAGGATCACTCTCTGGAACCTCGGGACAATAGCCTGCTCCTTGTTGGAACAATGGTGCCTTTGGACCCTGTATCTGCTTATGGAGTAGCAAGACAGGCTGGCCTGGCTCGGCAGCCAGCCAGACGTCGCCGAGCCTGGGCAAAGCCTCCAGTTTTGTTGGTGTTTTGTGTTGCTGGTCTGTAAGGACAGGGAACCACAGCGCCAGCGCAGATCACTAGAGACCGCCTGGGAGCCTGGCTTCTCCGGGGCCACTCAGCCTGCTTTATTTCAGTCCTGCTTACTGGCCGGAGGGCTCAACAGGTCCCCTGGGAGAGTGAAAACGCTCATAGGCTTTGGGTCAAATCCATGTGAATTTGAATCCAGACCCCGCACTGATTCTGTAATCTGCAGAAGCCACTGGGTTTTTCCCTTTTGAAAAAGGAAATGGGTGTTACCTACCTTATAGAGTGGGAGCAAATAAGACAGTGTTTGGGGAGAGCCTTGCACAACGATCAACACTAACTAAACAATAATATATCCCACCTCCCGCCCCCAAATACTTACCATTCTGTCATTGGGTAAAGCAAGTCCTTTCATTTCTTTAGAAGAATTGAATAACCCAGCCCATTCCCAAATCCTGTGGTACCTCAAAATGTCTTAGATTCTCACTAGCAAAAGCCAAAATATGAGCCACCGTCTGGCAACAGTGGCCCCTCTTGTCTGGTCTCCCCTGCGCTCTGGATCTTGCCTTTTGTCAGTGTCTTTGGCAGCATTCTGTTGAAGTCCAGTCCTGTTGTCTTTTATTCTTCCCAGAGTCCTCTTTGTTTACCTTAGTTACGTCCCAGAGAATTGGAAGTGACTGCTACGAAGACAAAGAAGTGACCGTCTCCTTTGCTTTGCAGAATGGAGTTCCTAACTTCTTGAAAGACATGGCGAAAGCCTGTCAGGCCTACCTCAAAAAAACCTAAGGAGAACTGGGAACCCTGTGCCCACGGACCGATGTCTTCAGAAGTGCCACAACCCGAGGACGTTGCCCTTCCTTTCACTTTTCCACCTTCAGAGGCTGGCACACTCTCCCTCCAGCATGCCGGCCCCGAGCACATGTGCCCAACACCCAGCTTCCTGTCCCACTCTGTCTGCCCTGGGACCCCACTGCCTTCTTTCACTGCTGAATATGGGTCATATTAGGGAAACTTCTGCTTGTTTGTTTTTCAAAAAGGAAGTCCTTAGTAGCGAACACGATCATGCCATTGCGCCCTTTGAAGGGGACGGGTGGGTGGAGGAGTGACAACATCATGTAGGGCAGGAATGACCTCTCCAGGCCAGCTGGCTCCTGCCCCGGATGTGATTCCTGGTGACTCAGGAGGGGCTGCTAGAAGTTACATTCCCTTCAGAGCTGACACTCAGTGTACCAGGCCCAGGGGACTGTGCTGATGTCTATTTGCCTTAAGCTTTGGTGACTTGATTTAGCTGGGATTTGAGGTGATAATCCGGTAAGTCTCTGCTCATTCTCACTCCTGGAGGATCTCATGGTGTTTTAATTTCAAAGTAAAAAAACAAAACAGTGTAATCCTAACTAAGCACATAATGTGATAACCGCTTTTCTCTCATCGTCTGCGTCTGGGTGTCTCTCCATCCAGTCTGCCACTGAAGGAAGGTTTCTTTAATGTCACTAGCTCTGCATTCTACTGGAAACTGGGGCATCAGGATGGCTCTGGTAGTCCCAAAAGCCAAGGACACACAGCACTTCGATCAGATGTCCTTATATTCAGTAAGATAAGTTTCCCTTCTAGAGTCTCTGGAGGTGTCGAAGGGATAATCGTCACAGCCGGGGAAATATTAATTAGTGGCTGGATTGAGTCTGCACTTTTTTTCTCAGGAATTTTACTGAAGTTGTCCACCTCTTCCACCACCAAAAAACTTCTAGTTTCCTATTTTCTCCTGAAGGGCAAGATATTCTGTGACACAGCCTTGACGATCTCAGGGAAAAATTTTAACCATGGTGTGTGACAGTATCAAACCTTGATAAGTGGGCAGAGAAATTCAGGATGTAGAGCTAGAAGCAAGAAAGTTATTAAAAGGGGATACCTCAAACTGTATTTTCTCTCTGGGAAGGAAAGTTATTGAATACCAAATAAATACAGAGTGACTTCTATTTGGCTTGTCTGCAGCTTCCTTCTCACCTCATTCCTTTTGTGAGCATGAATCAATTTGGTCTCTTGTTTACACGTCACATCCAACCTAACTCACAGACTTGAACAAAGAAGAGAATTTTAGGCTCATGTACCCGTTAAGGCCAGGGGAAGAAGGGCCTCAGGTAGGTGTTGATACAGGTGCTTAAATGGACATTAGAACTCAGATCTCTTCTTCAAGTTGTTTTTGCTGTTGGGCAGGGTTTGGTGGCAAGGTTGCTGCTAACAGCAAAAGGTAGGTTTGCATCTTCCAAGGCTCACGCTGAGCCAAAAATAAAAAGAGAGAGAAAGCATTTCTTTCCATGAAACCCACACCATCCCATGATTCCTTCTAAACCTTGTGCCTATTTCTGCCCCAGCCATTGTTGTACAGATAGGATTATGCAACTAAGTGAAAACTTCATCAGTTTATCATTAAAATATTATCATGACTATAGCTGAAATTTAATTATAGAGAAACCAAATTAAGTGACTCATGTTAAAAAGGTCAAGTTGAAATTTTATGTATAAAGCCATTGAAACAGAAGCCCTAAGATTACAGCCTTTGAGCAGATAATCAACATTGACGGTATTGTGCAAACCATAATTTTAAACAGTGTTGCATAATTTAAGAACTCTGAGAATATGAAGAATGTGGACTTTCTAAGTGAGGCAGAGAAAAAAGGCCCAAAGTTTGCTCTTATTGGTAGAGTTTTCACTCCTTGGCATTTGTGCTTGCCACTTGGAAGAAGACGGTCCCATGCAGCAGTGATTTTCAACCTTTTTCAGCTCATGGCACACATAAACTAATTACTAAAATTCTGCAGCAAAGCAAAAATATATTTTTTGCCAATCTGACAAAAAGTAGGTATAATTTTGATTCATTCATGCCGGACACCTATTGCTGTGTTGGCTGTTGTCTTTGTTTAATTTGCCAATCTAAGGGAAAGGAGGCCAATGTCCCTGACTAAACAGGTATTGTATGATTTAAAAATTCTTGCAGCACACTGCTTGAAAATCCCTGCTATGGAGTGTTGAAATATGAGATTATATGGGCAACTGAGAAGCCCTGGGCCTGTGAGGCACAGAAAATAGAGAACTGGTACCTTAGAGAGGCACCTGATTCTTCAGGGTGTGCTTTGCACAGGGGCTGGATGGACCATTTGGAGTTTGAAAGTTGTAAATACCTGGTCGTTCCTCTAGCACTTCACTTCACCTCTTTTTCCTGTGTCTGTGCCTTTAAATAGACACCAGTATCCTTGTGAACAGAGTTATTTCACATTGGCTACATTGCCTTCCAGGGTAGGACAGAGCAGGTACTCAGATGGTAACTCCATGTGTAAGCGATTTAGAGAAGACTCACCAAATGACACATACCCAGGAGACTAAACCCATCCAACATAGAGGCTTCATTTGATTACATTAAATAATGGTTTAATATTACTTAATCATTTAATTCAAGTCAAATTATTTCCCCCCAAACATCATTTTGGGTGTTCCAGGTTCGCGTGGGACCTTCCTCCAAAGCACGAAGCTCTTTGTTAAGGGCTGCCTTTGCTGCTGTGTCTGCTATCCTTCCATGTCTCAGAAACGGTGCAGTCTGGACTGAGTCCAGCTGAGATCGGTCAGAGGTTTCAGGATTTGTAATGAAAAAAATACATAGCACTACTGTTGGCACTACATTTCTTCCACAGGCGAATTATTCACACGGCATAACAATTCCAAGTTAATGGCCACCTTGGAACCGAGGAGGCCCGGCAGAGGGTCACTTCCCTTGAAAATGTTCCTACTTCACAGGGAGAGACCCGGCTCCCTGGCCGAGATTCCTCATCCAGAATCCCCATCGATAGTACCTGCCCTTCATCTCCTCAAACCTCCTCATCTCCCCGCTGGATTGGAGAGACAAGGCAGGAGGAGCCTTGCTGGTTCTCGGGTTTCTGGTAGCACGACCCAGTTGGCTCAGAAAATTACCTTTAAAAGCTTTGAGACAGGTGTGCAGCTAACAGCTGTTTCTCCGGAGTCTGGTGTCTGCCCGCCAAGGAGATAGGCAGGTGGCTCCTGAGTGAATGAGACAGGCTTGTGGCTGCCCTCGGGGGGCTTATGGTCCAGTGAAGAAGACAAAGCGGACGAGCTGTAGGATGGGTGATGAATTTTGAGAAAGAGCAAGTAAAGGGGGCTGCAGGCTGTGAAACTGGACGCACTAGCCAGGTGTGAGGGGTAAGAGGCGGACATGGAGCTGCCTGGGTGTGAGCTGGGGAGGAAGACTGTTCCCCAGGGAAGCCACACTTTGCACAGAATCCCACAGGTGGGAACACAGCTACCTCAGAAGAACTACCACGGGCCAGTGTGGCTGCAGCGATGACGTAAAGGAGAGGCGTCTCATGCGTGGCTGGAGGGGGAGGCGCCCTGGCCGGGTAATTCAGTCCTTAGAACATCATTGTGATCCGCCGAGGCTGCGGGTTTGAACCCCGGTTAGGACATACACAAGACAACCGATGAGTACATCAATAAGAGGAACGACCAGTGGATGCGTTTCCCTTCCTCTTTCCCTTACTCTTTCCAAAATCAATAAAAAGTTAAATAAAACACTACGTAAAAGAAGTAGGCAGTTAGGTGATGGGAGACCCTGAGAGCTACAGCGAGGATTTTGGACTTTAATCCCAGAACACCCATTAAGCTGCGAGGGATTTTTAAACTGAGAAATGACCTGATGAGACTCATTCATCCTTTGCAGCTGCTCATTCCCCCCCATGGCCCTCCGTCATCTCTGGCAGTCCTTCCAACTTGTGTCAGGAGGATACCACCCACGGTGCATCCAGCCTCCTCATTTCGAGACTCCTTGCAGTCCGGCAGCTCACAGAGCGGACCACACCCAAACCTACTTTCCAAGGTGGAGCATCGGCCTCCGAGTTCAGCCAGAGGAAGGAGGGCCAGGGCAGCGTCTGCAGGCCTCCTCCGTGCCTCCTTCGCCATCCGCATGCCACGCACTCTCCGGCGTGACTGTGCCCTGCAGCCCGTCAGAGCAGAGCCGTTCCAGAAGCCAGAAGTGGGAGAGAAAAAGGAAAGACCTAAAAAAATGTAAGCAGGTTCTTTTCTCCGAAGTTTCTTTTTCTCCACTTCTCAACTACAGGAAGATTTTTTTTTCTTCTTCTTGAAAAGATAGAAGCACGTTGTTGAGGTTCTGAGTTTAGAACCAGCAAAATGGGAGGGCTTCAGAAAAGTTATTTATATTGTTCACCTCCATGTATTTTTGTGTGTGACTGCCTAAATATACATAATACGTGCTCTCTTTCGTGGGGTATAATAATGGAATGACTACCAGTGTTTCCGAACCTTTTTGGCACTAGGGACTGGTTCTGTGGAAGGCAATCTTCCCATGGAGGGAGGGGGTGGGGTTGGTTTCAGGATGATTGGAGTGCAGTACATTGAAGCTCACCTCCTGCTGTGCAGCCCGGTTCCCAACAGGGCTGGACCAGTACCGGTGCTCGGCCTGGAGGTTGGGGACACCTGGACTAAGTGGCATGTTATGTGAATTACTGTCCAAGTTCTCTCCACGCTACACCAGGTGCCGTGCTCCCAGTGGAGGTGATAAAGGTTGAAGGGACTCTTCTGTCGGGGAATTAGCAGTCCAGAGAGGGCATGATGCCTAGGTTATGAGAATGAGATCATCACCGTAGGAAATGAAAACAGGCACTATTGTGGGGGTTTGTGGCCAGCTGACATTAAAAACAAGACAGCAGGCCCAAAATGGAGTTGCTTATGCTAAGCAGTACCTCACCGAACAAAAGCCTAACCTAATTACAGTTTGGCTTTTAGAGGAATGAAACCTTAAACCAATTGCTCAGGCCTCCCCTAGTCAGGTCATCTGCCTGACAGACCCCCTGCTGTCCCCTAATGAAAAGTCACCTTGCGGTGACCAACCTGCTTTTTCCCCCTGGTGTAACTAACACCCTTGTCTCTGCTTCCTTCTGCCTATGAAAGCCTCTCATTTGTACAGCCCCCTGGAGCTTCTTCCTACCTGTTACATTGGATGCTGCCTGATTCCAATCGATTTTTGCTGAAATAAACTCTTGAAATTGTGACTATGCCTCAGTTTGTCTCTTAAGAGCTCTGTTGTCAGAAGAGGAAGCTGGGAGATTGCAACAGCCCCCAGGAACAACCAGCACCTGCGTAGGCACCTGTGCACACTCTGAGCTCGCTGCTCTCTCACTGCCTCTCTCTGGAGGTCAAAGGTAAGCCCCTTTCGGGTCCTAGCTCGCAGCGTCTGGAGCTTTCACACTTTGTATGAGCAGTTCTTTTTCTGGACTGGATCCAAAAATTGGCAGGAGTCAGACTGGTCCTGGCTTAGAAAGTGGACCAGGTCTGGGGTCACGCTGAGTCCTGGTTAAGCTGCACCAGAGCCCGTGTGAGGCCTCAACTCAGGTGAGTTACATTTTGTTTTATGGCTGAACAAGGAGGCTGACTTTCCAAGAAAACGTTGAAGCACAGTGGCCACAGGAGAGAACGTTTAACCTAAACGAGCTTATCCATGTATGAGGGGCCCTGGAATAAAAGGCGTCTCACTCAGCCCAGCACTCACCAGAAAGAGCAGACAGAACATTACTTTTCCTCCACTGCAGACGCCCGGCCCCTCCAGAGCCTGCAGACAGAATCCTGGGAAAGTGGCAGGAGCCCACAAAGGTGAGAATTCTTACCCAACTAGGTCTCCCATCCCTGCCTCTGTGATGCATGGTCCAGAGAGGAAGGTAAAATTCCACCTTTCCCCCTCTTTTCCAAATTTAGATTGGCAGGTAAAAACATTTGTAAGAATATTACCTTAGAACTGGGACCTGTGAATTTGCTTTCAGGGACAGCTCTGGCCTTCTTATGTGTCCCACTCTGTGTCCGGAGAAGCTGGCTTGGCCACTATCACGTTGCCCCCCCCCCCCCAAGTCGTACAGAAGCAGAGTGAGGTACACTCCATTTTCAGGTGGGGTCCTACCAA